GAGTTTGGTACATTTTTAATTAAATATTTGAATATTAGTATGAAAAGATGAAATTACTTTCATTTTACGAAAGAAATAAATCCGTTAATGAAAGAAGAATTTTCTTTCTTTTTGGATGAATAAAGAAAAAGTAATTTATTATTCAGAGTTTGTATAATGCAATGCCTGATGAAAAATATAACTTTCATTGTGAAAGAACACTCAGATTTAAAGTAATTTCGTGGAGTAAGTGATTGTTTAGGAAGTACTGCAGGACGCGATGGAAGACTATGTACTCAGATATAATGTTTTAAGCTTTTCGCATCAACCACACCACATGCAAACTCTACTTTCGATCCCGAGATAGGCAGATAAACAATTGTAGACAGTTGTGTATTTATCCGACAAATACAAAAAACGGCAATATATTAATAGATAATATTTTTGTCCTCTCTCTCTTACTTTATATCCTATATCGCCATTTATATCACCTTAAAATTCTTCTGCGGTTAGAAACTCCTTTGCTGTTTTGAGACATGAAGCTACTCTGCTGTACATTTGAATAGTCATATCTGTAAATTTGAACTACAATTTATTCTGTCATTCTTTCTGTCAATATTATTTTTAATTTTACACAAAATACGTATGAAGTGACTATTTTTATTGCTAAAGAGATCAGAATACTAAAAAGTATTATTTTCCGCATAAATTAATTGCAATTGTTTCTTCGCTTTTTACCATTTCGCCTTACCATTGATTTCACAAGTATTCTCTGCTTTCCTAAAGTGAAGGAAATGTGTATTTCTTTAAAGTTTGCTTTCTCAACAGCATTTAGAGCTTTAATTCTTTAGAAATAAAAATACACATTAAGATCGTGCTATTTCAAAATCTTTCATTTTTCAACGGAATTATGTTCAGTTTTATTATTAAGGATTTATTCACTTGCACGCTTGGAACTCCTTTCGATGCAGTAATTATTTAATTCTCCAAAAATAAAACATAAACGAACTGTATTTGATATTTTTTTTTTTATCATACAGATTTTGCAAACGAAACCGAAATTCTCCTGAAAAGAATTATGTTTAGAGGAAAGAAATAGTTTTTAGCTACGAATTGACTAGGTGTAATTTTTACGTTGAGAAAAAGGTTTCCCAAGGCCCATTTAGGGGAAAAATGGCAAAACGTGAAAACAATACTGAGTCTGTTTTCAGACACAGGAGTCTTGACCGTTAGAAATGCTTACCAAAAGGAGTAAAATAATTCGGTGGAATACCTAAAGCTGTAAGATATCTGTGAGAAAATAGTGACGAAAAAGATCCGGAGAATCATACGCCATCACGAAAAAAGCTTCTACACATGTATCGCTATAAATTCCTAAGTACGTGTTTAATAATGAGAAAAATTTCTTCTTCTGCTTCTTTACTCATTTATCTTGCTCCTGTCGGATTTTCTGGTGTTTCCGAAATTAGAGCTACTTGGAAACCATGAAAGATCGAAACGATCTGATATCGATCTTATGCGCAGCTCGGGAAAAAAAGTATTGCGAAGAATTAAAATATTGAGTTTGGTGCTATGTATGATTCCAAAAAGAAGAGTTCTTCGAAAATATCAAAACTGAATAATATGAAAGTATACCCAAAAATACGAGAAAAATGTGGGCACTTTTAAATAGAATTCGTTGCATTTGTAGCATAGTAAGCCTGAAATAATGGCACTCCACATGTTACCTGTATAGAACTTTAACACACATCTTTACACAATTAAATTATTTCGTGCTACATCTCATCGTATATCTCCTATATCATTTCGGGCCGCTACAATGTGCATTACAACAAGTTTCTGCATAAAACTTTAACAAATCTATTTACTCAAGACTACCATAGAACTGGAGTATACTTTCAAAATATTTTGCTTCATATGTACAGAATTTTAATGACACTCATACATGAAATTCCCTTGAGTCCGCTTATTTAATCTAAGCATTCTAAATATGGTATACCTTCTGCCGCCATTGGAAATCTAGTGAATAGTGGCAGTTTGCCCTTGGCTCAAACATCGGCGTACAGATTGGTAAGCATAAAAGCTTTTGTGATTTTCTTCCTGTGGAATATAAATGCGAGCAAGTTTGGCTTTAGGATTCTTCCGCGAAAGCATCCCTTCCCCCTTCTATAATGCTTTGCATGTACACATAGGTGTAGTATGCTTTGTCATCAATCGTAAGAAATAAATGCATGTCAGACAAAATAAAATAACACATTATTTAAATATTTGTCTGAGTTAAATCCAATTCGCAAAAAGATGTTATTTCAAAGGCAGAAGATTACGTAGGAAACACTTTTTTAGCCCGAAGGGGCAATTTACTCAGAAGGGCTATTAATTTCGTTTTGTCATTTTGCGAGGTCCACTACAAACTACAAACGGCATTGTGGAAAAACGAAGGTACCTAGAGACATCAATTTTTGAATAACATAGTTCTTCACTCGAACATGAACAATTGGAAGCCCAAATTTGGAATTTGTTTTATAAACTATTTCGTATTTTGTAAAATTTTAACGAATTTTTGATTAACAAACTCAACGATTTCAAAACGAGCAATGGCAACACTGTACGAAAAAAAAAAAAAAAATTATCTCCATCTCGCGAGACTGCCCCCATGTTGGAAATTCTAAAGATCCTCCCTTCTTAAATACTCTGTGAGCTTGCTGTTGAATTCAATTTTATGGTTTAAGTGCGAAGAATATGATATTTAATAAATAAAGGCAACACACAAAACGTTAAAAAAACGCCGCTTTGGGAATAATATAAAATCTGAGAACTTTCAATTTTTTTTTCTTTTCGTTCTTCTACAAACTTCACTAAGCGTTGAACACTCGTGATTGGTAAAAAAGTCAAAAATTAATGAAAGTAATAATTTAGCAAAGCAATGTTACTGAAACTAAAAGTTAAGGAAGTGAAGTAACATTATTCATGTCAAATAATGAAGACAATTTCTTAATTTAAAGAGGAGTACTTCATTTAATTTCGAATATCGTGTTAAGTTTTAAAAAATACAATAATTTTTTTTTAATTTTATGCATAATTACCTCATTTCATAACTATCGTTATGAAACAAATTCAGTGGCAAAAATATGAATATTTGGATGTGAAATAAGAAAATTTCAGTTGAAATTTTGTACTTTTATTCAAATAATCTAAATATCAGTTTAAAAGCATCTCATACAAAAGTCTGAAAAACTTAGAAAATAAGTACTGAGATCGATAAGATGAGCAAATATTCAGAAAAATTTCATTTTGACAACAAGTAAAACACAAAAACAATAACAGCAATGACAAAAATTTACTTTTCCCTAATTTATAAATCCGGAAAAATGAAATTCATGTATAGTGAAGAGTTCATCTCTTTATAAATGATAAAAAACTACTACTAAATAATAAATTACTTTTTTTCCTTCAATCTGAAATACAAAAAGATTTAGTTTTAATAGGTGACGTAGTCAGATTTCACTTTAGAAATTATTTCAGAAAATTTATTAGCAATATTCTAAAGGAATTTAAAAGGAAGTTTTTCGAACTCTGTGTAGTTTGCTTCTAGTAAATAAGTTATGCTCGATAAAATAAATCAATATGACTGCATGAAGACGTTTTTGAAAGTAGGCAAATATAATTAGTTTAAAAACATTGTAGAATAATGTAATAAGCGTATGAACTTTTGTTCAGTTCATTGCAGGAGTTTGCAGGCTTTTTAACAAGGTATAAATTTGAATATATTAATCTTATGTTTGATCATTTAACTTGTCAGGACTATTGCTCCTTCTAATTAACTTTGGGAAACATCAGTGCAATCATGAGTGGGAGCAGAGAACTTACTCAAGCTATGTTCGTGCATGCGTGAAATAGACAAACAAGTTAATAAGAGTTAACTTTACACTTTATTTCTTACAGCGTACAGGTGCTCCAGCACTTTTGGTCTAAAACGTAGAAAATGAGAAATATTCACTTAATAACTAACTAAATAAGAATTAAATGCTTCACAGAGACTAATAACGCGAAGACTGGCCTTATGCCTATTATATCAGCAGGAACTAAGTTCTGGCCTAAGATAAACACGAACTGACTGAAAAGCTCGCGCGTAACGGGGCAGCAGGAAGGCTCTCTCTCTCTCTCTCTCTCTTGGCTAGAAGCCACTTCTTAAATACATTTCACAGTTTTCAAACTCATTAGTATAAAAATCCTACTCGCGCTTATTCTGGCCGGAAATGGAAAATAAGAGAGGATAGCAAAGTTTAAAATAAAATAAACGTTAGTAAAACTTAAAATCCTTTTAAACTTTAAAGGCAAAGTTTTCTATGTAAAATTTTTTAGGCTTTTCATAACTTCACTATTATGGTAGCACTTCTCTTATTTTAATAATTGTTTAGTTTCTTCTCATAGGTTATTCTTTCTTTACCTGTATTTTTTTAAATAAAATTTTTCAGGCTTTTCATAACTTCACTATTATGGTAGCATTTCTCTTATTTTAATAGTTGTTTCACATAGGTTATTCTTTCTTTACCTATATTTTTTTAAATATAAGCTGCAGATTTTGACTTCAGAGATTTAAAAATTGTAACATCGGCAGTTTTTTTACTGAATGAGGTATAAACACTTTCTGATTTTAGGCATAATTTACTTCATTTCCCTTCAGAAGAAAACCAAAGACTGAAACATTTATGGATTCTGAGTGTAGTTTAATAATAACGAAGTTATTGAAAATGGGCATGGGAAAATAATTTCTTAAAGGTGAACTCTAGGTTATTGTTATATATAGCAAATAAGAATAGCGTTACAGTAAGATAAAAGACCGGGACATTTCTCGAGCATCGTGCTCACCTTTTCGGCAAGTGGTGAAAAAATATCAATGATAAACAGCAGATTGTTTTTGGTAATTTGTAAATATTAAATGAAGAAAGAACAACTGTTGAGAAAATTTGAAATTCATATTTCATATTTTTTATAAAGAAATGTTAACAAAAATAAACTACCTTTCTGAACTATTTTTCCAAATATATTTTTCCCTCTAGCGTAATCTATAGTAGGGCAATTCCACCTTCTTTTGTGAAACTGGTGTTTGCATTCCACGATGGCAACTTGGACTCCTTTGCCAATGGCTGCCATCGCACCAGGATTTTCTCGGACCAGCCTTCTTTGCTTTTTCCGCAGTGGCAGATGAGGTGGCCCTGTTACTGAGTTGCCCCTCTGGAAATCCACGACGAGATTCGTAGGTTCCTCTGAATGGGCGAGGTTCCTAGAAAGAAGGAAAAGAGGTAATGAAGCAATTTTTTTTCTAATTCATCTTAAACAGAAATTTCTGAATTTAAGCCTAATTTATCCATAACTTGAAACAAATTAGGTAGATTTTCTTTCCTCTGAGTTTGCTGCTGATGTAGCCTTATAGACAGTTAAAGCTTAGATAAATTTCGAAAGAAATTCAGCAAAAGGAAATGGGAGAATGATATTATATTCTTCAGCGTAATGCGTACTCTTTAAAATTTTCAACAGAAGTTGCTTTCGGTAATTACTCGCTAATATGGAACAAACGGTATATGCAAGAAAGTGGTTTTATCTGCAAATACGGTGTGGTACAATTTTCTTGCATCTGTAGACAAGCAGCCCAATGAACTGAAGGTAAGCATGTACAATATTATTAGTTGCATCATAAGATCTTAACATTTCCAATTGTAACGCTCGTAGATGCGTTGACAATGAATGAAAATGAATTATTCAAATGCATAGTAATTTTAAAATGCAGTAAAACCCTGATAAACTTAAATTCGTTTGGGAAAAGCAATGAAGGGGAGAAATTCATTCAATCTTCGAACCCGAAAACTGGACATGTTAATTTTTCTTAAAAATTTCTTTTAAACATTCATTCCCCATCCCCCATTGTTTAGTCTCTTAGAAATAAGTACATATTTTAGGATGATGTACCAAGTGATGTACAAAAATACTGAATTGCAAAAATACTTTTGTAGAGTCATAAGATGCCAGAAAACTGAAGAAATTCGCAATACTGTTGCCGGGATCGGAAATTAGGAAAGAACTACCAGTGTTCAGCGGCTTTTCGCTCAGCCTTCTGATGATTTGAAAATCATCTTCTTATTCAAAAGATGATTTTCAAATATTTGCACTCATTATCATTACTGTCAATTAAAACCTGCATTTTTCTAAAGAAACCTCCTAATCTCTCAAAAGTGAGGAGTATAATAGGTTTCGATAAAGTATTAATAACTTTGTAGAACCTTATAAAGGAATTTTTATCATTGTATCGCAATGTTTAATAACGACCAATTACTCTTCTTATTAACTATCATTCCAGGAGAGGAATTCGAAAAAGAAAAGTTAAGTTCATTAAATGGAGTGCCAGAAATTTTACATATATATAATTCTATATGTTTGTATATTTATATATATCTATTTATCTATAGCTATCTGTCTGCATATGCAGGTTATTTCAAAATTAACGATGCAAGTTTTAAAAGGTACGCCATGAAATGCAATTCTAGCATGATGAAGCACTAACTCACTTCAACATTTAAGTGCGTAATTACTTCATTACAATATCTTGAAACCTGTGAGTATGCTGTAATCGACCCATTGTTTGTCCTACAAACTCAACAGATTTGTCCTCTCTAAATTTATTTTTATGAAGACATTATAATCTAACTGCAACGTTTTCTCCACACTTCTGTTCCTCATGCTCCAGTTCTTTTTAAGACATTTGAAATTAATGATGAGCATAGGTGTAAAAAAATATTAGAATGTTTCCAACTGAACAAATATTTATTAAGCTTTGCCTACTGCATATTTTGTCAAAAACGTGTTCCAGTGTATTGACAAGTATAAGGTGATCATAAAAAAACTTCCTAAATATATGAATTCCTAGCAGTCTATCTTGTCCACCAATCGAAATGAAATTTTAGATATTGTTGTTTGAAGGTATGCGCTAGAGATTGTGATGATTTACAACAACATGGCTACATTACAGTGAAAAACATTTCGAAATTTTCGAATGACGAAACCCACTTTTTATCCTGTGTAAATTTATTAGTGCATCGAAAAACCATAAATGGCGATGGAAAAATACGCGTATAACTAAAATTACTGGCGTAAAGCTTTTGGAAAGAATAGGATTGTAAAGGACCAATAGCAACACAAGAGAAGAGAGGGAAAAAGATTTTCATTTGAATTAACAACTTTCAACGTGAACAAGTTTCAAGATAGAGACATCTTCCGTAACTTCGCAGTTTCGTGGCCAACCCGATACCTCTATCTCACTCCGATGGATTTCTGGTTCTGGGGTCATCTGAAATCTAAGATGTGCACATCAAATCAAGGAAATTTGTCAGAACTGAAAGATGCCATAAAACGCACGCTGTACCGATTCTTCCTGCGATGTTACGATCGTCATTGCTGTCAAAAATTGTCAACAACTTTCTTGTATTGTCATTGGTCTTTTATAATGCTTTTCTTTGCAAATGTTTTACGCCGGTAATTTTTGTCATATGTGTATCGCTTAAAAGCCATTTATGGATTTTCAGTGCGCTGGTTAATGTTCTCAGAAAAAAAGTAAGTGTTGATATTCGGAAATTTCGAAATGTTTTCACTGTATCTTTTAGCTAATGTGTGTGTGTGTGTGTGATTATGGCAAAGCCTCGAGGGCTATCTGCCTAAGGGGAGGGATGCGTTCGTGGAGGACTTTCTAAGGAAAACTGGCTCGTATACACGTTACACATGGGGAAAGCCACGAAAACTCCCATGCAGCCAGCCCGTTCGCGGATTCGAACCTCAGACCGAACTACCAGTGTTCAGCGACTTTACCGCTCGGCCGCTGGTGGGCCCCTTTTAGCTAATGCTTGCCTCTTATTTAATTCATTTTTCATTTGGATGATGGGGAAGTCATTGTAATTTTCTACAAAGGTACTCCAGAACCAAACCGTCTTGCTTCTTGATTCCTGACCGTGAGCGCTCTATTGTTTTAAATCCTCACAATCTGGAACACATACCTTGAAATAACAATATCGGAAATTTCATTTCGATAATTCGGATAATCCCTAGCGGCTTATCCGCTAGGGATTCATGCATTTGAGATATTTTTATTTATCTCTTAATTTGAATATTTATTTATTTTTCTGAGTGTTTTTTATTTTTCAACTTCTACCCTTACGTTCCCCAATGCTTAAAAGCTTAATTTGTGATTAACATTCTACAATAAAAAATATATATATCGTTGTGCTCTATGATCCTTTAAAATTTATTCCATTAGGTTTGAAACGCCCTGTATATACGTAATGCACTTAAATTACACTGCTTTTGATGTTCATAATACGTATTTCAACTTCCATGCATTAAATATTGGTTCAATGGTTTAAAACTAATAGATTTGAAAATTTATAATAATTATTATAATTATAAATATTTTCTCTTTCTTCTCCCTCTCTCTGTCTCTTTTCCGTAATTATACTTTTATTGATTTTTTTTAAATGAATAAAAATAAAACGTTTTATAGATAAGTTTTTATGCGAAATGCATTAAAACACCATTATTGTGAAGAAAAGTGTAAAAAATATAAGCATATTTGACATTTAGTAAACTTGGGGGCTTAACAGATCATGACTTAGCCGATGTTGTCCTGTCATCTTGGGACAAAATAGGACAAAAATAAGTCAAAGTTTTATCATTGTATACCAAAAAGGATACGGCTATGTCAGTGTATCAAAGTAAAATAATACTTCAATACAGAAACGTAATTATAAAATTTTGTTTTACAAGCTTATAAGTCTTTAGTCAAACTTTACTTTCTTCAAATGCTTAACATGCGTCAGCAAAAGAAAATTTTTTATCTGAAATAACTCCTCCCCAATTAGTTCAGATAAATGGGACTCTGTTGTTATTGTGTTTCCTTCATCAACAAGGCTTGACACTTGGACAATAAATGATAAATGCATGAACTGATGAATAATGCATTACATTAATAAAAGAAGCGAAATCGATGTCAATGACCAGATAGATAATAATGCTTAATACTGTCTCTTGGGTAATCAGGAAATACATACAAGCAATGTTTTCCTCCTTTCCTGTAGGCTGCTGGAATAAACTCTTCATGCATATCTTATCTCAGTAGTGATAGCCAAAAAGAAAGTTCTGCAAGTCTTATGCTATAATAAAATCGCACTTCATTAAAAACCACACATTACCGAAAATGTCCTCGAAACTACTAGTTACACTAAAAATGAATAAATCAATAAAATTTAGGCAATGTTTGAAGAGTGTACCTGGTGAAATGAATCAGCGAAGAGCAAGCAGTCCAGAAAGAACATTTACCAGTAGAAAGGAGCTCCTGGATTCGAATCCCAATGGATATTCACAATCATTAATACTATCCGAAATAAATTATATCCTTTTATTTTGAAATAGGAATCTCAAGGCTACTTTTGCTAGTCTTACTTTCTCTGCAACGAAGATAAGAACTTTGTCATTGAAGAAACTCGTGCCATCAAATTTGCTTTTCCATGTTTCTTTCTTTAGTACGTGTGGTTCGTGAGTACGCAGAAGTGATGACTTGAATTTGTTTCAAACAAAATGCGCAAGCTTGTTTTGTTGGAGGGAGAATGACATATGTTACATATGAAAATAGAAAAAGATCTAGTGACCTTGAAACACATTTTTTAAAATATGAGGCTATAAGATCCTTGGAGGCAGATAAGACAGCGTTTACGCATTTGTGTGTGAGCGCCTCAAATATTCAGGTCATTTAACACTTATCTACCTTTTACTATAGTAATGTCTATATATCTTTGAAAACTTGTCAAAATGCTATTTGTGCTTTTAGAAGAACACTGGATGAAATATATTTTGTACAAATGTTATAATATAAATGTTAAAATATTACTTGTTTTCTGTTTCCTGAAACAATAATATGTGAATCGTTCTTATCTTTTTTTATCCTTTTAGTATTTACACTTTTTACATTTTTACTTTTTCCTTTACATTCTACTTTATAGCATATGGAATTTCTTTTACATTGGAATTTTTCATCACTGCAAAATACACAAGGCCTGTGTGAAGGAGGGTTTCCGTTATGGACTTTCTAAGGCAAATTGGGCTACATTTAAGATACGCATGAGGAAAATTATGTAAACGTCATGCAGTCAAATGATTTACGATGGAACGTAGGTGAACACCCAGCAGTGTTTCTGCAGCTTTAGTCTATCGACCTCTTATTACCTTATTTCTGTTTAATTTATT